TCAGTCTGCAGTGACTACCCAGAGTTTGTTCGGAACAATATTAAGAGATATGCATATACTAAAGTGCAAACTACGAGTAGGGAATGGCAGCAGCAAGAACAGTCATATGAATTTGAACAATCGCTTAAAGTCTCCTAGACATTCGGTACAACTTCACCTGTTTGCGCAGCGTTTCTGTATCGTTTCCTTCCTTCTGGAACAGTAAGGAAGCACTACAACAGTTCACAGCTCGCCATAATTCAATCTCAGTGTACACTCTGCAAATGGTAGGCAATGATTAATGTACTTGACAGATACGGTGTGAATTTACCTTTAAAGTAAACTAACTACGAGTAAGTTTCCCAATGAAACAAGAAATCGTTACTTTATAATGTTCTTTAATAACTTTAAGGTTGATAAGCAAATGCGGGTTCATGCGAAAATAGATCAAATTCGATTAAAGAAAGAGTAAAGATGAAAAAAAATATTCTGCCTATTACAAAGAGACGTCACCTAGTCCGGTTTTTCTATATTTTCATTTATTTTCCGCAGCAGTGTTACTCGCTTGCCTCAACCTGCAAATCTTTCACATTCTTCCCAAAGAACCGATCAGATAACTCATAGTACCAAAAGCTCCGCTGTATTTTCCACAATAACACTGGGACGGATTAGCATGTATAACAAGAAAGTCGCATTTGTTAAACCGTTCCAAGGTTATCATAAATACCTAAAGTACCTATGCATGAAACAAATTTACAATCGCTGTACAGCAAATGCCATATAAAGTTCATAAACGCAGATATGTAAAATTGCTAAGCGGTTCGGCACGCCAAAGATTTTAACTATCATCATGCCTAACCAATCGGGTGTAAGAAACAAAACTGCTTTGATCTGTCAACTTTTCGCTGAAACGAATGAAAACGAACTTGCTTACTTCATTTTAAAACGAAACAATGTCGTTGACAGTACAAAATCAACCATCACTGATACCACATTAATCAGGAGGCACGTACGAAGTGAAAAAAACTATTTTCTCGAAAAAATTTTGAAGCACCTAGATTCAGAATCAGCTTAGTGGGTCAAAGTTCCGGCTGGCGCAAGCAATATAAATACAGCCAGAAAAAAGATCTGTATTGATAGAGGCTGACACTTACCCTTGAACACCAGATCGACAGATGGCTCCATCCTGAGCACCTGTTCGAACTTCGTCATCGTTCGTTCACCATCTTTCGCCATGTTTAAATCAAACAAATGGCCAAGTTTCGTGTCGATCGTCAGCTAACATTTGGGCGAATACAAAATATGAATGAAACGCGTTAGCAAAGCAGAAAATGAAAAGAACTAGTCGGTTAAACACAGACTGTTAAGTGCCATCGCGCGCGGTCTGCGAAAAACGCAACTCACCGACTTTACACCATTCCGAATGAATAGCCAATTCTGCCTTTAACGCGATACTTGAAAATACTACAGGGAAGTGTGCCAACGATGCCCAACAAAAGTCGAGTCGGCAGCGATTGGATGTTCCATAAAGATCACCGCGTTTCGGGTACGAAAAGACAGGCGTCACAACGTCCACTTCACAGCAAACGCGTCACCGTCGTAACAAACGTTTATAAACGAAGACAGCTTCGGTGAACACGGCGAGCGCGAAGGACAGCGATTTTTACAATCGAAAGTAGCGAAGTTTAGTGAAGTTTCAAAACAGTGGTATAAACATTAGAATTTCGCAGAAATTAACATAAGTTAACGAAAGACAGCTGGTGCAGGAGATGTTGTCTTCCCTTCGCTTTATCCTTTTAACATATCTGAAACTCTACCGAAACCTTCATTACTACCGCGGACAGAAACGGTGCAAAAAGCGGAAACACGTAATCCGAAGTTTGCGTGCACGAAAAGCAGCAGAAATTATTCAGTTAGG